TCATTAGGATTCTTCGATCGACGCATTCTCGCGGAAGGTATGCAGCCTCAAGAGCCAATTAAAGAAAGTAGCTATGTCGCAGCACAAACCGCACTAAACGAGCGAGAGTTCATTTCGCAAGCTCCGCGGATTCTAATCGGATTCACGGGAATCGCAGCTTTATTTCAAGAGAGCTTTTTCAGGCTTTCACGCCGATTCTTCTACTGTCTCTGTCCAGTCAACTTTCCCGCCTCCACCCTTCCACTCGCGGATTCCCCCAAGTCGCGCAGATTGAATTTCCACGAGAGGCCACTGGCACAGTGGTTCCGAATGCAGTTTCCACGAGGCGATGGCAATCGGCGAGTTTTGTAGGAAAAAAAAAAAAAAAATTAAAAAAAAAAAATAAAAAAAAATAATAAAACGCGCGGCAGTTCGAAGCTTCGGCGAATGGCGAATCCTGCCCTGACTGACGCGGAACGGCTATTCTGAAGTCTACAGAGGTACCAGAGAAACACGCATCTTCCTTCTCCAGTACTTCCCAGAAAAGACACAGAGCCTACCGATCCCCACGCAGGACCATCCAGTCCATCGAACCAGGCACAATCCCTCTTCTTCTCTCAGTGCTGACCATTTAGAACTGCTTCACGAATTGCGAAAGAAGCTGCTGCATTCAGCCGCATTCAGCCGCATTCAGGCACATTCAGGCACATTCAGGCACACTCAGGCACACTCAGGCACATTCAGGCAGGTAGTGAGATTTCCTTCGGCCTGCGAGCAGCTGGAAGTAGATCTTGCATCTTGATTCGTCGTTTAAATCGTTTAAACACATCGTCGGGCGAATCCAATAGCGCTTCCATTGGGAGCAATGTACTCTGGGCGCATTGACAAATGCTCACGAGGTATTAGGGGGTCCTTCCACGTGTTTTCTGGTAAAAACGAAAGGTCTGGAACGTCGAGGGGTCTAATAATCTCGTGGAAAAGCGTCCGCGTCGAGAGCGGGAGAAGGTTTTGCCAAGATGCCGCCGAACGGGGACGTCTTTGGCGTCGTCGCTGGCGTCTCCGTAGCACGCAGGGACTCTAGAGAGAAGGAATGTTGTTGTTGTGCCGGGAGGCGGTTGCACCGTGGACGAGGAGGCAGGCGGGAGGCAGGCGGGAGGCAGGCGGGAGGCAGGCGGGAGGGAGCGAGAGAGCGAGAGAGAGAGGAGAGTCAATGCACCGCAGGGGAATGCAGTGCTGCGCCGCTCCAGGCAATACAGTCCGCGTCAAAGTGCATTGTGCCCCGTATAGTAGAACTATAGTAGGAGTGGAGCGCCTCTCGCAGTATATTCGGAGAGTGTAGGCGCGACGCCACTCGTGGACGCCGCTCTACTATGCAACGGTACGCTACTATCGCTTCTTGGAAGCTATAACGCGCACTGCGTGTGCGTCCGCGTGAATCGCTGCGGTCGTGCGTTGCGCCTCGGGCCTTAATACACAAGAGCATGGCGACAGAGAGGACGCGCGCGCGCGCGCGCACCCCTAACCCTTTACCAGAGGTCAGCTACTTGCGCGAAACGCAGTTAAAACGAAATGCAGCGCGCTAGACGGTCGCGAAAGCAGCCGACTTTGAAGGTTTAAAGATTTAAAGATTCAAAGAT